CTCAATAAGTTTACAGGGTAGCCCGTCCACAAGGACTTCAAAACCAACACATATCTTGATGAAGGCAAATGAATCACTTCCCTAGGAGAACATTAACAGCGGCAAAAATGGCCATAGATGATGGATCACTAAAGCTCGGAAAATGGCGTCCCAAGTGACCCTTTTTTTCAACATTTTCCGTTGTGGCAGCTTTTGGTGAAATTGCCCCTTTTGTAAGGGAATAGCTGTGAAATATACTGGTGTTTTGGAAAGTGTTTTGCTAGTAGCTGTGTGGTAGCATGTGTGCGTGGGAGGGGGGGTCGGAAATGGTCAGCATTGTCATTGCTATGCATGTGAATGCAGCAAGTCGTATTTTACTATCTTGATACATTTATCAGCAAAATGCATTAAGTGCCGATAACAGAAAAAAAAACTGTCGTCGCTCAAATGTTTTGGTGCACGAATTTTGTTTTTCATTACGGTTAAGTGCTTTTCAGAAGAGACAACGGTTGCATATCAATCGCGTTCGACAATATAGTTAATGATATTTGAAAGTCATTACAAAAGAAAATAAAGCTGGCGTCGTGTATCAGTAATGACTATTGTTTGTGGATGGGAAAACACATTATGTGATAGAAAAAGAAAACTGTACCCTTCTTTACTAAATACCATTTGTTACATGATAAACCTATCTGTTGACTTGCCAGTAACAAGATATTCACGCAGGTCCTAATTTATGCAATCATGTTATCGGCGCTGCGTTGATAAAACAAATTGGTAACACGTTTAATGGCGCGTGGAAAATGAGTCGAAGCGATTGGTGTGGAGATTGTCAATGTTTGCGTGTGTTAGATGCAAAGTATTGGTAAATGTGAAAGTGTTCCAGTAATGATTTGCATAATAAGTGGCATCCATTGCGCCTGCCTTGCTCTGCACGCACGCGGCTCCATGTGAACGTTACGTCATGTCATAGTGTTAGAGAGTTGCCACGTTTCCTTATCACTTCTTCTCGCCCGGTCTGTACTTGAGGAACTGGACGGAGAACTGATAAGGGCTTGTGGCTAACAAATACGTCGTGCACTATGCGTAAGTTGGTTTCATGAAGCAAAATTTATATTACTATTTCTACCCGCGCGAGTAACGATTCAAGAACAAGAGCTGTGTTGCGAAAATTAATAAGTATTTTATTGAAGATGACACAAATTGCAGCATAAGAATTTTGTGATGTGGGTTTCAGAAAACCAAACGTCGAAAAGGTTATAATGGCAAAAGTGAAATGATAAATGTTTTACAATAATTTTCATTGACAATTTTAACCATTGGAAATCAAAACAAGAAGATACATCTTCATAAATACTACGATGTGATCACGTTTTGTGGTGGTTGTTTGGACCAAAACGTCCTCCAGACAAATATTTGCAATGAATGGTTTTATTTGTAATATCCTGCATTGTTGAATCGAGCGGATGTTACCTGATTAACAGCCATGTCTAAAATAGGCACGAGTTTGCGATCAATTTAGTCTCTAAAACAATATGGATTGAATATTGGTTAATTTTTTTACTTATTAAATAACAAGAAAATCCACTTCCAACAAACATTTGCATACTTCATAACATCGCCAAGGCGACGGGTTAGTGTGGCCATATTTTTACATGGTTTATGACATTAAAAAAGTATTAAAGCCCCAGAATTTTGACATTTTATTCATATATTTTTAAAGTCTAGAACTGCAGACAGAAGTACAATTGCAGTTGTAGTTATTTGTTGGCATATTTTTCATTTCAAAACTATAGTCTTCAAATTGTTGAAGATAAAATTTTTCACTGACGCGCAAGCGAGCTTATTTGTAAAATATGTAAATGCATCTCCACCGTCTTATAGAAGATGCAATTAGTAAGAAATATATCAAGTTTTCAAGTGTTATAGTTTACAAGCATCGAGCGATATTGCACAAGGAAACATTTTACTGGAAGTAACTATTATTTCATTTTTATTCTTACTTTTTCAGATTGACTGTTTTGTGATTGGAATTTCTATGAAATTTTGGCTGTCACATGAGACAGCTTTTTTTTAAATTTTTAATTGATAACCGCAAATTTTGTGTTGGAGCCCTACTTTTTCATTTGTCGCAACAACGGTCATTTCTGTTGTGGCCAGTGAGCTGCCCAAGCCCCATTTTCTAGTTTAACCAATGGTTCAATGAATTTTGTAAAAATTTGGATTTGAAACAAAACTATAAATCTCGATATATCGGGCTTCGTGTCAATAAAAAATAGACATTTTTTAATAATTGTCATTAGTTGTTCATGCTGTATATGCTAGTTAGGCCTACTTAATTAAAATCACGTGTAAGAATGTAATATATTTTGCAATATATTTCAAGAAATAAGAAAATAAATAATGTATATATATAAAATCAAAAATAATATAATAAGACAGTAAAAAGAAAAGAAAAAAAGAATAGAATAAATTATAGACTATAAAAGTCTCGTAAGCTTTGAATCTCACGTTAGCAACCGTTACTTTTATCGGAACGAATAAATAAATAGATATAAAAATTAGAGATTAAGTTATATGTAATTTGGATTCACAAACGAGGAGAGGTGACAAAGATTTACAATGTTATTTTAAATGAGTAAATTGACAGGCCCTTTAATAATAAAACAATGTTAAGTTGAACTTAAGAGGTTCGAAATCGACTAGAAAAATTAGTCTCATTGTTTACCGAGGCAATTTTTATGACTGGAATAACCCTTTTTTTTTAATCTAGGTTTACCGTTTTATTTTGAACATAGAGCAAAGCTTAGATATAGAAATTCTTGCTTCGTCTGTGCCTCTTGCGGTAGTAATACTTTCACCCCCCCCCCAAAAAAAAAAAAAAAAAAATCCCAAAACTTATTTGTATACTTTCATCGTTGATTGGCAGCCCTTTGTTTCTTTCGCAGTGATATCTTGGATGTCATAATGACGCCGCGGAAACAGCAATTTATTAATCAAAATTATTCTTGATCGGCAAGTGTCTGGATTTCAATCTTCTCAAAGTGTAAATTATTACCTGTAAATTAGTAGGTTAATGATGGAATGTTCTAGCATGACAGAAAATGCGCAAACAAATATCCATACACCTCTTCAACTGGCAGCGTGTGTATTTTGCAAATGGCAAATCCAATCTGTCTTAACTTAAAGCATGCTAGACCGTTAAAAAAGCATGCTCGCTTTCAAGTAGTTGCACATCAAATGCATTTTTACACTCTCCTTTTCTGTGTAGTGCATACATAAAGACGAAAAACGAAAACGGGTCAAAAGTCCACAAGAAAATAATGTCAAACTAGAGCTTGAAATAGTAGAGCTTTATTTCAGTGGGACTTCGTTCCTTTCACGGCTTTTTGTGACTAGACGTGTCAACTTGCTTTTAATGATGCTCATAGACGCGCGAAACTAGGTTAAAATAAAATGCAGAATACTCGCTATGCTCAAGTGCAAAAAAAAAAAAAAAAAAAAAAAAAACATGGTCGGATCAAGTCGTTAATTTGCCTGTGTCACTGCATTGGTGCACGTTGTCTTTACGTTCTCAATTATTCCAACAGTAAGTGGTCTCATGACTCTTGGGATTCTAAAATTTGGATTTGTTTCCTTGCTCAAGATTTCTCTTCAATCAATATTCTAAATGAAATTACCCCTATAATGCACAATGTATGAATCAGTTTGTAAAATAGACGCAGTTACAAGCGTAAAATGCCCTTGTTTAAAACGATCTATATGTTGTATGTACCTCATCCTTTTTTTCCCATTTACGCCCTTTCGCAACTTTCACAACTTCAGGGTATGGTTTAAGTCAATCGAGTATCCTTTACCTTTATGGGAGACTAAGCGTGAACGCATATTTCTAAGTTTTTACAATTAAAATAATTTAGATGTTTTTTAACGTGGCATGTTAAGGTATGTAGTCAACGTAACGCTAACCAGGTCAAAACTCACTTAATTAAATAAATCGCCGACTTCCCGAATCGAATATGGAGAAAAATGACAATACCAAAGGCAATTTTTTAATTTGGTTTCGTGCCCGATCAAAAGTGCTTTTGCTTATTAAGCAAATTTCCGACAAACCATAAACTGCTAAATGCCAGTAATCAATTTGACCAATGATGGAACTTTGGAAAGCGGACGATACCCAACGCCCTCATAAATTATTTTACTTCAAATCGTGGCATTTATTTAGATGGGGTCCTTGTAATAATACGTCGCAACGTAATGCATCCGTAGTTATGCCAGATCCAAGAAAAATAACCGCTTTTCAGACAGAAACAAAAGAAAAATAGTCGTTGTTAGCAGTGAAAATGCAGTTTTATATACTTCATCAAACGTGTTTCTGTAACCCTTACTCAACCGAGACAAATGAGAAGGCAACCAGACTGAGTTTGCAAATAACAAAACCCCGATTGTGTGTAGTGCCAAGCACAACTTGCCACCGCCTGAACTGAATTCATTTCTTATAAAATATTGCAGGCGAATATTATAATGCTCTGATTTTGGAAAGTTAGATACTTGCCATCTTGCACACGTTCAAATAAAATGAAAAATATTTAAAAAAGAACAAAGTGGTTTTTGAAGGTAGTATTAGTACTGGTTTGCAAGAAAGCACTCTAAACTGGTTCTGAACATTATTGATTGAAATTCAGTGTTCCTACAAATTAAGCCGAAAGAAAGTTACATGTACCGGGAAATTGGTCTTCATTACATTTTAAAATCTCGAATGATAATTTATAACACTTGATAATCTACTCCGTTCATTCTTCATATAACGCACTCAAATCACGTGTTCAAAGAAGTAGATTTACCAAGTAAAATTTTTAACAAATTATCTTCGGCTGGCTACTATCAAAAACATTCTCAAAGACAAATATCACCTTTTGACAACAATTAAATGACAATTCACCAATAACTATACAATAATGACGACAAGCTGGAGCTGACTTCGTGATTGATGAAATCCTTACCATTTAACAACACCTACTAACTTTTATTCTTTTCCGGAAACTTTATTCAAAATGTATCATCGCATAAAACTGACCAGGTGGGCTTTCAGCAAACTTTGTGTAACAATATAAATAAACTCCCTCATTTCAATGTTACAATATGCAACAAAATACGGAAACCCACAAAGATTTACCGCAAGTGTGACTTGGCATGACAATTATGTATTTAAACCGTCTTCTCATAAGTAGTATTTACAAATGGTACTGATCAAATCCACATTTAATGATTATTACAACTAGCAAAAGAAGTAAGACTAAGACATTGGCATAACCTAACAAAGTAACTACTTCATTTTTCATGAAGTGTTCCATCGTATCATTTAACGGTTCCTTTCTTGGAATTATCCGTAATTTTGGTTATTATTTAAACATTCGTGCAGTCATGTCTTTCTTATAAAACACTAATTTTTCCAAATCAATTCTCATTGTTTCTCAAGTATGCTTCACCACATTTTAACATTCTTTAATTTCCTTGACATGATATTGCCAAATTTCACAAAACATACACGTTTCCAGATATGCACTTAATAGAACAGCTTTCTACGAAACCATGGTTTATGCCACTCTAGTCCGATCCAAACCAAGGAGTAGCAGCTACTTCTTCTTGCCAGTAAGTCCAGCTCCGGCGTTGAATTTGAAGTGAATGATGTCCCCATCTAGCACAACGTAATCTCGGCCCTTCTGGAGATACTTTCCTGCAGCCTGAAAATACACTTGTTTTTACGATTTCTTCATATGAAAAAAAAAAAAAAAAAAAAAAAAAAAAATCAGGCGGAAAATGATGCATTTTGATAACTTCCTAATCCACAAAACAGGTTGCTTAAAAATTAGACAGGCAGTACAGCAAAAGAGAAAAATGATAAAGTTCTCGTTGTGTGAGTTTTTTAAAATGTTTATTTTTTTATTGTTATCATTATTAATTTATTTACTTTTTTCATCTTTTCTTTTGCACCTCCTTTGTGAATTGATTCAGATAGCCTACCCATGAGAAAATTTAAATCGTAACAGCTTTAGCCCTTTAAGTCACTATAATACAGTGACAAGAAAAGCCAAGCTAATATCTCTGGTCTAGACAGAAACCCGTCCTAATTCTATTAATTTCCTATTTCAAATTATTTCTAGCTTTATTGTTGTAATGAAGCAGGGGCCTGTAACATGCCTTGCTGTATTTTTGAAAAAGACATAAAATGTGCCAATAATGCCAATAAATTGCCAATAGACAATTTTTTTCCAATTTTTCATTTCCTTAACCCAATTACTTACATTAAATAGTGTATCCAGACATTTTTTCTGTACACTAAATCCACTTCATCAGTACACTTTAAACCTTTTAATATCCTTTGTTTGACAAATATTTCACAATAATTTTTGTTGTCAATAATGAAAAAAGGGTTATATTATATTCCTCTCCTTAATACATGAATAATATGGTAAAATTGTCTAATAATTTCCTTTGCTGTGTGTTCAAAGCACTATTTTTTACTTTTTTTGATAAATAGCATGCCATTTGTAGCTTGACAAGCAATTTGCAGTGGAGCAGTTAGTAAATGTGTTTGGTCTTGTAATACTTTCTCCTTTCAAACTATTTAGCCTCAGCACAATAGTTTTCAATTTTTAAAGAAATTTTTTTTTTTTTGAAACAACTGCAAAATATACAATACTTCACTCATTATTTGGGTAGATACAGTAAACATGTTTATTGGATGAAAGGAAATTATCTCACAACTGAAACCTCCAAAGCATCCATTCACATAAAAACTTAATTTTGATGTTTATTTAATCATGCCATGCCTTCAGAGAAATATATGCATCCACAATTAGAAAATTCCACTTAAAGAGTTCAGAGAAGGCCAAATTTCAAAGAATTTTCTTTCCTGTTTTTATTTTTTGCCAAACCATGTCCTGACTACATGAGATTTTCCTTTGAGGTTGGCCCGTTTTAGAAGATGAGGTGTCAAGCAGGCACACCTGCTGTCGGAGTTACGTGATGTGACACCACTCGTTCATGCCAGGAAAAACAAACGACAGACATTGTGCCTTCCTTACTGTGCAAATTAAACAATTTCACATACATTGTAAAGCTAGCAAAAATGTTGAGTTTTCAATTTAGTTACTCAAGGTGAAATACACCAGAACTTCAGTTACAGAAATTTATTATTTTTTTCTTTGATTATTCATCTAAAAACTGAAATAATTCATTATACTGTAAGTAACAGAATAAATAACAACAGATCAAACCAGACTAAAAAGTATGGGGATATTTTGGGAACCTTTTGACATTAATCAAGTAACTTATTGTAACAGTACCACATAATTAAGCACACTAAACCTCAAATTCAAGTACCTCATCAGAGATTAATCCATCAGCATATTTAGTGAATCTCATACAAGTATATCATTCCTGTTAAAATACATGAAGTTAACTTATCAAGAATATATAACAAGGATGTCCCTAAATAGTAAAAGAACAGTGCCCTGGCACGCAGCTTATTTTATATCTTGGGTTTACCCTTTCTTCAAGTCTGTGTTAAAAACAATATGCAATGTATTTTGTAAAATCATCAACTAGATTCAGAGCAAGCTGAACCCTACCTTGACTGCATTTTCACTGCCCAATTCCTTGAAATCATCAAATTTCATCACCTCAGCCATGATGAAGCCTTTTTCAAAGTCAGTGTGAATTTTTCCAGCCGCCTGAGGTGCCTTGGTGCCTTTCTGAAAGCATGAAAATTTCTTAAGATAAGTTTGTGTATTTAATACATCATCTCATCACAAATGGAGTTTTCGAATATCAATTCATCATTCTTGACATTTCAGTAACCAGTGATTTCATGTCAATCAAATTGGGAATACACAATAAACATTAAAAAATTTTAAGTAATAGGCATGTTAAAATTTAAATAATAATAATAATAACAATTAAGGCAAAATCAAACAATCATCAAAAAGAGTAACATTTTTACACAACTAATTCAACAAAAACAGTTTAAAATGAAAATAAAAACATTTGCATTACATAATGTGTGCATGCGTGTGTGTGTGTGTGAGCACACCTGCGTACACGTCTGCATTAAAAATCTTGCTAGGAAATGAGCTGAGGACTTTACTCAGTCTTCAACTTTTAGAGCTTATAATATTATTTTAATTTTTTTCCATTTTATTTTCACACTAAATACAAAAAGAAAATTAAAATAAGAAAAAACATGCCACTGGAATTTCCCAGCAGTTGGAACTGTGCATGTCCAGTAATCATTAACTTTAGATTTTTGAAGTGTTAGACAAATATCTGTCACCACAAGACAAGTGTTAACTATGCTATTGCATGCAAGGACCATAAAACTTCTCTTCATATTGACAGTGCCTGAAACGCATCTCTTACATAAATTTTAAGTTTTTATTACATGTTGTTTATCACTATTATATAATAACTTGCATGTAACTGACTAAATCTGTGCATTAATATTTGTCGTAAATCTGTGCATTAATTATGTTCGTATCCCTTGTTGATAAATGTACTTTTCACCAAATGGTACCAATGCCCTTGCAAGAGAATTCTAGTATGGTAATGGCAAAATAAGGAGTTTCCCTGTAAATTCTGTGGGGGTCATAAATTTCCAATCTTCAAAGTGTTTTCATTTTCTAAAGTGTCTACACACAAACAATGCATG